AAGTGGATATAAGTGGTTTATATCCAAGATTGAAAATATCATACCAAAAGTCAGCCCTTTTTTTGTGGGGATTTCTCTGCAAGAAATGCTTCTTCTAAGTCCATCTGACATGGCAACCATTATTCAGGTGAAGTAGGGAGTTTCATGATATTAAACAGCTGTCTGTAATTTTTTTACACTTTGGTTTATAGATTTATGTATACGTGTGTGTGTGTGTGTGTGCATGCATTTTGTGTATATCATTTATCTAATTAGTGTATTCAGTTATGTAATATTTCTGTCTATTAAATAAAATATGTTTGTAGCAGTTTATAATTAAATCTCTATTCCCAGTTTACTTGGCATTTTATCTTTTAATGAGAACTGATATTCTTTTTTATCTGATAATTGTATTTCTATTTTAAAAAAAGAAGACAGCCATGTTTGAATCAAATGAAGACAGCCATGTTTGATCCAGATGTATTTCTTTGCTCAACAGACATCAATTCACTGTTTATAAAATATGGTGTCAATGAATGAAAGCAGCCTTGACTTGAATAGCAGACAACCCAGAAATAGAATTTCAGGTTCAAACAATGGTATCATGACCCCCACCCCATCAAAAAAAAACCTCTAGGAAATCAAGTTACTTAGACTGTTGATCCTTGAACTGTGTTTCTATTAGATTTTAAAAGAAACCAATTTAGTAAAAGACTTTCAGTTAATTAGAACTCTATTTAGATAAAACACTTGACTAAATTAAAAAAAAAATGATTTATTTTGGATAAGATTTTCTTTTTAGTCAGCCTCATATCCTGAGATCATTTTTTCTGAAATATGACTTGAAAACAAATTTTGAAACACAAATGCAAAACCTTCAAACATTTTCAAATCACCAAGTTTTTTACCTATTTGTTGTGTATGATACACCTAATTTACATAAGCGGGACTTTTAAATATGGGTTGGTACCGGAGACGGGGAAGATAGTAAGATTAAGAAATTGAATCCAAACTCTCATTTAGTCAACCCATTATGCAGGAACAGTCTTCCAAGAATATACCAAACTAACTGTAAATATTGTACCTATTCTTTGTTTCAATACATTTTGTTAACGTACATTTTGTGTTGTATTATTCCATGCTTATTTAAGCTTCAATTGATTTACAGTCTTATATGTAGTGACATATAAGACTGTAAATCATTTTCTTTAACATGGTCGCAAGTGCCTTATTTTGATGATTGACCCACAAACTTTGTAACCAATTCTTTCCACCAAAGGGCAATTTAGAAAAAGGTTTTGAGTTAATTAGAACACAATTTAGATAAAGGACTTGATTAAATTAACATTTTTAAAATGAAGTTATTTTGGACAATTTTTATTTTGTTTTAGCTAGTCATCTTAAAATCATTTTTAAAATAGAAGGACTTTGAACAAAAATGCAAAAAAACATCTAATTTTGTACTCTTATCACTAAGCTTTCAACTAAATGCAATAATATGGTTGCAACAGCCTTAATTCCATCACTAACCCACAAACCTTATAACCAATGCTCTCCATCACATACAAAATAGACTGGTAATCTAATTCTCTATCATAAATTTTTTGAATATGATCTCTGCTTATAGCATATTATATGGATTATATGATAAAACTATAGTCTTCTGTTTATTTCTCTAGCTACTAAGTTATGATGATGTAATTGTGTGGATTATAGAGTTGTTCCTTTGGTCCTTACTTCTCTATTTCTTAGTCCTGGATATGACAACTTCAGATCTTCAGGCTTCAGATCAGGAGATTGGAGGTTTTGAGGAGTGTGGAATCATCTCTTAATTGCTGTTGTTCCCAGGTCCAATCTGACCAGGGGTGGTAGCACCTGTTAGGGTGCCAGACATGGGCAAATAGGGAACACCCCCACCAAAAAAAACAAAACACTATGAAAGTATAAAAATACATTTTTATAGTAAAAATACCAGCAATACATTTTTATATAAAAAAATTACCAGCAATACATCAATCAACATGAAAGAACTTTCATGTAATTAATCCATAATATCCTACAATTTCTTAAATTAAACTGTATTCAAAATATAACTTCAACAAGACTACACGTAAAACACATATATCACTGCCTCTAGTAATTATGTTCACCTAAACATGTATATGCACAAAAGCTGAGTATCATCTACCATGTATTCAATTGTGAAAGCAGAATAACATATATTATATTTTTATTACTTCAAAGCTCCCAAGAAAATTAAATTTCAGCATTAAATAACCCATAAAGAGTTGATATGCTGTTAAACAAACATTCTCCATTTCTTCAAGGGGAGTCTGTGACAATTTCCTATGTCATCAATTTATTGCAGAGATATTACATGTGAGATGTGTATATTTATGTGGGAGATGGGACAAATAGGAATGTCACGAGACATGACTCAGTGGATAAAAGTGTTGGTTGGATCCAGTGACTTGACCCAAAGAGTTGAGAGTTCAATACCTGGCTACTGTAGTGGTAAACAAAATCTTGGAGAGTTGAGTTAAAGGGAGATAACTGAGACATTCAGAAGAAGCATGGAACTAGAACAATCTACCCTGGTGGACAAAATAAAGGGGTCAGTTCAAAATTCCAATCACCTGAAGAAGGCTGGAGCATACAATAGCCAAAACATTGTGAATATGACAATTATGAGGACAATGGTCGACAAAATACTATGATTGATTTGTTTCTTAAAAAGTATTTCATTATAGATAATAGTGTGAATAAGTATTTGTATAATAAATCTTACATTTGAACTCTAAAATCTCAACTTTCACTTCATCCTCCTGTGTATATATATATATATATATATATATATATATATATATATATAACAATTCACTTGCATGGAGTATTGTTGCCATATATAGTCTGGAGCCCCTCTGGAGTTCTTGATAGGCTCCAGAGGCAGATATGCAATATAATTGGCCCTGTTCTGGCATCTCATCTACAGTCGCTCTCTCACAGACACACCGTCACCTCTCCCTGTCTTTTTTACAAATACTTTCATGGCAATTGCTCCGAGGAGCTGCATTGACTGGTTCCCAGACTTCATGAATTCAAGCGCCCTACGAGGCTGGCATCCCGCTCTCACTCTTTGACTGTCGAAACTACTAAATGTAGCCATCTCTTCTACTCCAGTAGCTTCATGTCTTGCACCTCTCGCCTGTGGAACTCCCTTCCCTATTCCAGTTTCTCTGAGAGCTATAATCTCCAACTATTCAAATGTAATGTCAGTCAACATCTCCAGTTGCCTTGATCTATCCACTATCCTTCTCCTCATCTTTTCCTCTATCACTCCTGTCTGATCTTGCTCCAAATCTTCTGTAACCCCTTGCGTCCTAGTGGCTTACTGCCTTGCTTGGGGTGAAACGCTTAAAAAAAAAAAAGAAAAATATATATATGGGAAAGATGTATGGCAACTTAGAAAAATTTTTTGTATGCTATCAACTTACACTGGACTCTTTCCCTGAACTAAACTTTATTGCAGCATGAATCATTGTCTGTAGCTCAGACGCAGACAGTGCAGTTGCATGACAGTTACTTTGTCACAAAATAGCCAAAGATTTTGAAAATTTTATTAGAATATCTAATGCCCTGATTATATATGTATATAGTTGCATAATACATTTTAGGTGCATCAAGGGTGGTCTTCATTGATGTACTGTCTTCATCATTGATTTCAGGTTTTGCATCATATCGGCTCAAACAGCAACCCCAACCTGACTCTGGATGAGTCAGACAGCCTCCTTACTTAAAAACATTGTGCTATGCACCTTGACATTGGAAAAAAGAAACTCATCTTGACCGACCATTCTTATTGAAATACGTCCATCAGCATCAGCCAATAAACAAAAAGGCTTTTTACATTCCCCTCCTATATAGTGGTGTCTTTTTACTTCATCCAATTTTGATTCAAGTTACTTCTCTTGGATTCCTAACTTGGTAAGCTGGTCTCTTGTATAGTTTAATCCAAATCTTTTATACGTTTTAAATTGCCAATCCCATAACATTACTAACACTTGAACTAAACCAACATATGTACTGAAAACAAAACTATCATATACCTATACTAGCACTTACGCTTCACCAAATATTAGTCTAACTTAACACTTATAGAAGCATTTCTAAGGAATAAAAAATTATTCTCTATTCTTACTATATCTGATAAATCTTTAAGTTTACATTTACCTTATACAATTAAGCAAATGAAATTCCACAAAAATTCCTAAACATGTATGTACACCTACACATCTATATATAAATGTACTTACATGCACATGCATGGGCACACATGCCTAAATTTATCTATCTCCCATTTACCTTTATGAAACCAGCCATATTTAAAATTAACTCGTACTATTTATTTGAAATTCCTTCCCCATTTTGCAACTTACCAACTAAAATAATTCAATGACCTAACCTAAAAAAACAAAAAAAAACATAAGCTAATTTCTCAACTAACTAACCTACACTCGTATTTGCTCTCTGTTAAAATATATATATATATATATATATATATATATATACTATACCAGTTCAAATTTGGTATTGTTTTTTCCAGGTATGCAATTCATTTTTCCATTAGTGTATTGCTAATATATATTTATTTAGTTTTTATTTTAATCATTTCACCCCAAGAAAGGCAACAGAGCCACTAACATGCAGGGAGTGATTGCGAAAGAATATAAGAAAAGCATTATTAAAGTACGGGAACAATAAAAGAACAGAAATCAGGAAGACAGTAGATAACAAGTGACACTGACTTTAAATTTTTTAAGATCAAACTTGACTGGAAATTAAGAAGCTGGAAAAAGTTTCCACAAGTGAGAAGTGGGAGAAAAGAAAGTGTTAGCATAAAATATACATAATAAAAACCATAACATTCTTTTATTTATCCAAAAAAACATTGATAAATGAATCAGTGGAAATAATTAAATTTTACTGCCATTGTATCATTTATCTACAAATATTTAGTCAGCTTAACAGACTTTTGGCAAAAAGCCATAAATGGAATCAAAAATTCCTATTGCTCCAGATGAAAAGAAGGGAAGGGTAAAGAGAAGAGGATAAGGGGGAGGAAAGTAGAAATGAATAAAAGAGTAGAAGAATAAGGAAGTGTGGGGGGAAGGAAAACTGAACAAAAGAAAGAAAGAGAGAAGAAAAGATAAGGAGAGACTTGAATTAAAGAAAGGAAAAGTAAGGATGAGAGAATAAGGAGAAGGAAAAGGAGAGCTGAATAAAACAGGGGAAAAAAATAAGGATAAGAAGAGAAGAGAGAGAAAGGAAGGCTGAATAAAAGAAGGGCAGAATATGAAAGAGAAGTGAAAAGAAACCTGAATTAAAGGAAAAGTAAGAAGGATAGAAGAAGGAAAAAGAAGGTGAATAAAAGAAGTGATGAGTAAAGAGGAAGGTATAAAGAGAGAGAATGGAGAGTCAAACAGCAGAAATGATGAGTAAGGATGTAAGAAGAAATAGGATTTAAAGAGGAAGGTGAGCTGAAGACAACAAGTTGTAAAAAGAAAAAAAAAAAAAGGCATAGATATTGAGTCTCTAATCGAGAAAACCAGAAGCCTATAATGGTTCCATTGCAATCTGTCAACAGAACAATGAAAGTGCTTTTTGCATGAAAAATGTCTCAAGTTACTATTCAGTAAAAAATTGCTTGAATATAAGAAAAAACTCAAAGAAAAACAAATAAACACCAAAAAAAACAAAAAAACAAAAAACTTGACAACCAGACAAGAAGACATATAAACAGTGCCCAAAAAAATCCATAGTTATTGAGTGTTACTGGATTTTTAAGAGCAGTTTCACTTTTCTTCTCTATGGCAGCTATATTCACTTACACTTTTGCAGACACACATTGACTAGGTAAGGATTTTCTAAAGAGACATCCAAAATGTCGGAAAGTGTCATGTATGCTCATATTTTTGTAGACACTTGAACATTGTTTAACTAACATAACAAACAAGTTAAATATTAATTGCCTCATATGAAAAAATGTTTTATACTTGAAGGCTAGCTAGGTTTAAAAAATAGACAAAATACTATGATTTGTTTCTTAAAAAGTATTTCATTATAGATAATAGTGTTAATTATATTTTTATAATAAATCTTATTTGATTAAAGGACTTTCATTCAAGTATGAGTTATAATTATTCATAATTTTGAGAAAAGTCATTATCATTCTAAGAATTGTTCACACTACTGAACTCATTTTTAGTTGTTTATGTTGTTACAACAATATTTCAGGCCATCTGTTAAACAGCCTCCTTCAGGTGTACAAAAATTAGGTAAAAGTCAATTTCTATTATGAACATCATTTGGACAACTGAACTCATTCTTTGCATTGATTTTGTTTTAAGTACAACATTTCAGAAGATCCATTCTACAGACTTCTTCAGATATAGAATCCAGAGAGAGAAAGAGAAAGAGAGAAAGAGAGAGATTATTCTATACAGCTTTTTCTCAAGAACTGCTACTTTGTGGAAGCGGCTCCTGTGTGGATGCTTCTATGAACACTTCTATTTTGACCTTTTCTAGTCAGAGGTCAATCATCATATTCCTATCATGTTCTCTACCATTTGTATCACCTTATTAATTAGTAACATTTTGACTATAACTGTCTATCTTGAGTGGCTTTTGAGTCTTGTAGTGCGTGAGATTCAATATTGAGAAGACTTGTTTCTGGAGAAAAGTGACTCCTTCTTATTTCTTATGAATTGCATACCTGTAAAAGCTATAGGATGAATCAACTAAAATGTTGTACTCACCCCAAAACAAGTTTTTTATGCTATTGCTCACCCAGTACAAGGCCCAAGAGCCACTTAAGGTAGAGGGCTACTGAATGGGGATGTTTTATAGGTGTAAGAATTGTAGACTATGAAGGATAGACAATGTTGGAATCTAGGCTTGAAGAGGTTAAAATTGTAAGGGTTAGAGTAGCATGCTCTCAGGAGTCTGTTCCACAAAGCAGCAGTTCTTAGGAGAAAGCTGTCCAAATGGAACTTTCTTCTTACTAATGGAATACAATGTGAATGAGGATGGTTCAACCTTGTATACATGGCATAGCCGGTCAGCTGTAAAAGTCTGAACTAGTTGAACTAAGGAATGTAACTTGTCTGAGCATTTACCATGGAAATAGAGATAGAGATAGCCCGTTCTTGCTTTGCTGATCATGTCTAAGGATATCTTATCTAGTTCTTATTTAGTACTGCTAAGCCATTGCTCAACCTGTTTCCACTGAATTCAAGTCTCCTATGCTTTAATCTACTAGCTTATTTTCCTGTGGGACACTCCTGAGTCTAGAATTTGGAGCCTTAAACCTAATTTGCTTGCTGATGAGAATGCTACTTCTCATGGTCAGCAGAATGAGAAAAATATTCTTGTAGATTAAATAAAGGGTTCAGTTCAAAATTCTCTGAAGGTTACCATGTTCAATAATGCTAGAAACTTAAATCATCTCTCAACTCTTTTTTAAATCATCTCTCAGATTCCAGTTTCTATGCTGGTAACTGATACAATACTCACACCTCCATTTAGTACTTATAAAGAATTCAGGGAGAAGTGGGCTCATGCTTTTTCCAAGAACTCATTTTGCCAAGTTCATTTTCTGTGCTGCTAATTGATACTCTAGTCACATCTCCATTTAGTAAAATTCCAGCAGAAGTGGACTCATGCCTTTTGCAAACATATCTTTCTGAACAGGAATCTGACCAGCAAGACCAAGACTATAATCTAAAAGGCAGCAGTATGTGTTTCAATATGGCTACAAATTCTGCTACTGCATGTCAAAATTTGGAAGCATTCACAGTCAAAGACCATAAAAGATTTACTTATTGATTGACAGCTGTACTGGGTTAGTGTATCTTTCCTATGTCTGAGAAAGGAGTATTGATAGTTCGTACACATGATACAAGGAGAGCACATTACAGTCATTCTGAAGTTGACTGGTGATTGGGTCAATTGGCGATGTGTCTATAGATCACACCACAGAAGCAAAGTTGATCCAACAGGCAGAGGAATGCCACTGTAGATGTCAAACATGAAATCCTTCTTCTATTGTTTTTCAAGGTCTTTCCAAATACTCTACTTGTAGAAAAGTGTGCTATTCCAGTGTTAGTCTCATCAGTCACATGAGAAAACATCCACCATGAGAGGAACTGGTTGATTTCATCTAAAAAGACAACCTACAATGATGATGATGATGATGAGATAGAATGCAAAGAACATTAATATGAAATGAGCACAAGCACAGTAAAAGCTGGAATTAGAATTTGGTTTACCAATTCCGTTTCCTGTCAATAATGATTACGCAAATATTCACCTTTAAGTTATGAGAAAATATCTAGTAAATATTCCAAAGTCTTTTACTGGACAGAGGTTGATAACTTGGAGAAGCATTATTTACATGTGAACTATTGTCTTCATCTTTGTTGTTATTATCAGTATATTTCAGTTGTGTTCTCCAACCTTCATCAGGTGCTTACTGAATGTGATTACCTTCAGGTAATTTTGAACTGAACCCTTTATTTAATCTATAAGAATAGATTGTTCTCATTCTAATGAACATGAGAAGCAGCATTCTCAACAGACAGATTAAGTTTAAGGCTCCAAATTCTAGACTCAGAAGTGTCCCACAAGACAATAAGCTAGTAGATTAAAGCATTGGAGACTTGAACTCAACTTGAGCAATAGTTTAGCAGTAAGTAAAAAAGAACTAGATGAGATATCCCCAGACATGGTCAGCAGAATGAGAATAATCTGCCCCTTTAGATTAAATAAAGGGTTCAGTTCTGAAGGTTACCTGGATTGACAAGCAATGATTGATGAAGCCTAGAGGGCAGAATGGTTGAAAGTTTGTGATAATAACAACAAAGATGAAGAAAATAATGCTTCTCCAAATTGTTAACCTCTTTTCCAGTAAAAGATTTTGGAACATTTCCAAGACATTTTCTTATAATTGAATGGTGAGTATTTGTGTAATAATTACTGACAGCAAATGAGATTGGTAAATTGGATCCAAGAAATTTAGGGAAGCAGTTAAGCAATGGGGAACCTTGGCAGACTTATGGCAACATATTCAAGTGATCTCAAAAAAGAAATATGAAAATTCATATCTTATTTCCCTGTCACAAATGCCCAACTCTTAATCTACATTTGCACATATAACTGCAGTCATTCACTGTATAGCTGTGTAAAATGAGTGAGAATTCAAATAAAGGAGAACAGATATATTTTATCTTTGATGAATGTACACCCTTAACATTGTTCTTGTAAAATATCTAAATATTGTCCCGTTACCGTAGTATATCTTGCTTTAAGATCATTCAGAGATCTTCTGTATAATGGCCTATGACTTTACAACTAATGCCATGGAATTGTTCAGGTAATGTAAGGTGGAAGATTCAGAATGTAAAATATTTGTGTTTAGCTTCTGCAGAGGGCCAAAGTGACATGATGTTCAGCTCCATGGACAATAACACCATTAGGCATTCTTTTCAGTGTTACATCATTGATAGGATTTCAAACAGCAACTCTTTGTGGATCTCATGCAACTAATGAAAAGCTAAACTGTTTCTGTCAGATCAATAAAATGAAAGAAAATAAAAAGTTTTGTTCATGATTTGCATGCAGAAAGAGTGCTTCACTTGTATTTATCACATGCGCAAAAAAACAATTTACTTATCGAACCACATGCACACATACAGATTATATATATGTTTGTGCAGAGGAATTGTAGATGAAAGTTTTGCTGTACATGCATGCAAATACATTCAAATTTAATGGAAACACTGCTTCATGGAAAAAGCACTATATAACGTTTAGACTAGTAATTACTGCCAAAGGTGTAACTTGAGGTTTTCCAGAGGGTTAATGGCAGCATATGAAAATGTAGCTTTTCGTATGTTACTGTTTATTTATTCAACATATATTGTTTATTTATTCCAATGTTTTATTAATATGTTCAATTTCATTGAAGTATAATGTTTCATAAGCACAAAACCTGATGATGATGATGTTGCTTCAAACTATATTCATAAAGCTAAATTATATATATATATATATATATATATATATATATATATATATATGCTTTTTCTTTGTTGAGTACTTTGTTAATTTTGTTCCCTTTATTTTGTTAATATATTTGACTCTCCCGTCGTATTCGACGTATGATAGTCAAGCAGCTCATTTCCTAGAGACTGACAGCCAAATACCAGCACATTCGATTATAGTGGTGAAGGTTTTGTGCAGAACCAATTACACTTTTTGAAAGGCCAAATACAGAGACCTCATGCACTACGTGCCACAAGGTCCTCAAACGACCATCTGCAGGTTTTGAATTCAGAGTTGTCCTTCTCCTAGATCAGTTGCCATCCAAGGCTATAGAACCCAGTCTGTGCTGCTATTTACTCATAGCTGAAGGGAGCAGAAAATGATTCATACCTTTCCCAAGAGTATCAAGACATAAAGAATTTCGGGTACAGCTCAGTATTCCTAATAATATAACTGAAACATAATTGTGTAAATGGATGGTATATATACATATATATATGTATACATGTATGTGTATGTGTGTATGTATGTGTGCATGGGTAAATATATGTATGTGTATGTAGGTATCTGTGTAAGTGGGTATGTGGGTATGTATGTGTGTTGTACAACATGATTTATTCCATTAGGTGTTTTGGTATTACTTACAGGTTTTTGGGAATCTATTATTTAGATAATTTATTCTAACTTTAAATTTTCTTTTCTTTAAATCCCCACCCCATAACTTAATAATATAATCCATTAGCAGGAACCTAAATTCATTTATTTACAACTAAAGACTTTGGCCATAAATAAACTCCAAACTCTGGTCCATCTCCTTGTCACCAACCCAGTCTCCTTATCAAAATGAGGCGTGTCCTCTTAACCTACTTCTATCTAAACTAAAGGTAGTTATCATAAACTTTTAAAAAAGGAATAAAATAAAAAAAAATTAAATGTTTATTTTTGTTTAAAATGCGATGTCAGATTAACAGTGTTGCAAGATTGCTCTACACATTGCCAGTATTTTTGTTCCATCGACATTTGTCTTATTATAGTGGTAGTTGTAATTTTCCTCGTCCACAAATATTTTTCCACCAGTGTTTGATTTTTGGAACTTACCCATGGGTTCCAAATAAATATATAATCTATAAAATCCAAAAATTAGATATTTATCGTATACACAGCTGGAGTGAACTGAAACTTATAGCTTCATTTTCTCTTGTTTTAAAAAATAAATTTTTCTCTGTTTTTTTTTTTTTATGGTAACTACATTTCTGCTTGTTTACAGTAATTAGAGGTATTGGTGTGCAAATTTCTATATTAAACAACTCTTTTAAAAAATACGGTACCTTCAAAAAATTATCAGAGGCACACAGTTATTCAAGGATGCAATTGACAGGGATGCAAGTATCCTGTATGCAACTGACTGTCTACCATATATATATATATGAGGATCTTTCTTTCTTTCTTTCTCTCTGTCTGTCTGTCTGTCTCTCTCTCTCTATATATATATGTGTGTGTGTGTGTATGTATGTATGTATGTGTGTGTATATATATATATATATATATATAAATGCTTGTGTGTGTATGTGTGTGTATGTATGTGTGTGTGTATATATATATATATGCTTGTGTGTGTATGTGTGTCTGCATGTATATGTGTGTGTATATATATATATATATCAGATATATCAGGATATATATATATATATATATATATATATATATATATATATATATATATATATATTTAAGGATATCTCTTTCTCTCTCACCATAAATATATATGTGTGTGTGTATCCTTATATATGCATATAAGAATATATATCTATATGCATTATTTGTATATTTGATTTCTTATGTACATAAGAGTGCTCAGTTTTAAATACCTTTAATAGAGTTTTTTATTACACAAAAAATAAATAAAATTTTTACTTAGTTACCCATTTACAGCCTGTTTCATATATAACAATGTCTTGCACACTTCCAATATATACAGTTTTTATTTTATATATAGTGATACTTTGTATATTTTATATTATATATTATCTGTATTATTATTATATTAATGTTACATAATAATTGTAATAATAATAATATAATAATAGGTCTGTGAAGACAACTACTACTGAGACAGAGAAAGAGAGAGAGAGAGAGAGAGAGAAAGAGAAAGAGAGAGAGAGTGAAATTTGTGCTAACTATAGATACTGAATTTTAGTTCTCTGATTCCAGTTATTGATAAAGTAAAAAGAATAAGAATTAATATCTGCATGGAGAATGATACAAGAAACAAATTGTCTACCATAAATCGCTGGAAATCTGATGCGATGATCATATTAAATTGATCTCATTAAAATGTCAATGAAATTATTTTATATTTCAGGGTTCAGAAATCGTTTATGTGTTCAAGGTAAGCAGAGTGCTTACATTGTTAGCGTTTCATCATCAGATGCTTTTTATCAAATGTTCACCCTATATAAGTCTCAAAAGCCACTCAAGCTAGAAGTTTACTCAGTGAGGTTTTTATATGGGCATAACAGGAGGAAGTAGGTGTAGATTATGAGGATATGTAGGATATGCAATTGTTGACTCTAGATGGGAAGGGATTACCAGGTGCTTGGATGTGCAGGTGGTGTAATAGATAATGGCTTGGAATTGTTAACCAGAGAGCCAAGTTCGAATTTCAGTTGGGCTTATTATATTCACTTATGCACATATACCCTTGGGAATGGTATGAATCCATTTCTCCCCGAGTATTAGTAAGAAAATTACACACAAAATATTTACATTTCATAACAGAATAACCTATAGAGTTTGATATGCAGCTAAACAAAAACAACCAGTCAACCAACCCAGATTTGAAGACATTAAGTTTTTAGTGATCAAGGAAGCATTCTTCAGGAGTCTGTTCCACAAAGTAGCAGCTTTTGGTAAGAAGTTGTCAGGTTTTATTTATTGGTTAGTTTTGCAGCATATCAACTCCTTATGGGTCATTTAATGCTGAAATTTAATTTTCTTGAAAGCATTAATAATTTCTTTTATAAAAATGTATTGCTTGTATTTTTACTATCAAAATATATTTTTATACCTTCATAGTGTTTTGACTCCAGTATGGCGGTTAACTTTTTGCCCATAGCTGAGACCCTCAGTGAATCATCCCTGCAGGAGTCGGGTTCACAAAGTAGCAGTTCTAGAGAAGAAGCTAAGTGAAACATAATCCTTACAACTGGAATATGAAGGAAATGATGTTGTTCAGACTTAGCAAAGTCTGGCACAAGGCCCCCAGTGAAGAAAACAAAAGTGGTAGGAAGCTGAATGAGGTTGACTAAGTTATACCTAGAGACACATCAAATGTCAGAAATTTTAAATCTAAAAATTTTAAATTAAGTATTTACACTGTTTACATGGTTCAGAATGTTTCCCTCATCAGTGGCCGAAACATTGTGAATATAACAATAAAGATGAGGACAACAGTCTGAACAATGTAAGTAGTTACAATACCTCATCTCAGAAATATAGACAGATGATAAAGTTAAGTGTCCCTTATTTTCAGTGTTTCTCTTTCAATGTATAATTATAACTAAACATTGTTGTATTCCATTCCCTCTGTCTTCATCTCTATAATTTCATCATTTTTTATTTAGACTGAATAAATCCTTTTGAAGGATGAAGCATTTTATTACTAACCATATATCCTTTTATATGACTTAATGATTTGTTGGCCAACTGGATAGAACATTTGCTTTCTGACCACAAGACCACAGTTTGAATCTCACCATTGGTCAATTTGTCAGGAATGTGACTTCTTGATGTTATCAGCCTGGAGAGATGATCACAGTAGACCAGAAAAACCAGAAAATTATATCATGAGTCAACACAAGCTTTGTGAATGAAACTGGTTATTTGGGAGCCATCTATTGTTGTGCTAACATGAAGTTACAAGACATCATGACTGAGGGATTTGAGAATACCGACTTTGATCAGAATGTTGATCATGTCAGATAAAGCATTGTCTCCCAGAAACTGTAAGATCTGCTCAACATAGCTGTAATATTAACTATAAGTGGGCTCTGTGGGTGTTGAATAAACATGTTTTTGAGCAGGTGCCTGAAACAAGGATTTGCTAGCAAGTAGACAGATATACTTGGCTACTAGTGGCCAGTCATTATCCTTATTTGTTAGAATATTAGGTATATTGAGATTAGAATCACTGGCAAACAACATCCAACATTAATTGCTCATATATTTTGCAATTAATCTTTTCATTCATATCCACATTTTAAATCTTTTTATTTTTTCAACTTTCACTCAGAGACCCATTGGATTTTCTCTTCAAAATGAACTCGCCATTAATTTCTGTCTGTATGTAAATATTGAAAGATATGACAGCATGACTGAACAATTGTCTGCTTGACTGACATGAATTCCTTCAGAGAAAAATAAAAACAAACAAAAAACAAAAAAAACAAGCAAAACAGAAAATAAGTAATCGGCAAATAAATACAAAGAATAAAAACGACTTTCTTTTAAGAAATTACAACTTGAATGAAAAAACAAAAACAAAACACCAAAAACAAATCCAAATAACAAATCATGATTAAAAATTCTTAAAAAAAATAGAAAAAGAAAAAGTAAATGACACCCCAAGTGAAACAAAAAGGAAGAGAAGAAAAGTTATTATGTTATACAACCTTGGATGTCTTTGTCAAAGAAATTTCCTTCTTGTAATGTTAAAGTGTCTTTTATACATTTCGACTTTTAGAAAGCAATTAGAATGGAAATTGCATGTGGCATCCAATTAGAAGAACCATTGGCATCATTGAATGTTGTAAATTTCAGAGGCAGAAGGAAATGTTGGAGAAGGGGAGATGACAAAACCTATGAACAGGCATACAGGCATATTGAAGGGGGGAACTAGAAATAACAAGCAGTAACTCTGAGTGTTTATTCTTAAAAATGTAATTTGGCTGTATTCAGTGATGACCCTCCCTGTCAATGCTTTTATAGATGATTTAAAAATGATGGAAAGAGAGAAATGGAACTGAGAAAAGAGGAAAATATTGGAAAGTAGAAGAAGAGGAATGGAGATGTAGAATGAAGATAAAAGAGAAGAGGAAGTTGAAAAAGAAGAAAGATGTGACTGAAAATGAACGGGAATTGATGAAAGTGAAAAATAAAGGGGAAAGAAAGATAAAAGGAAAACAGAAAAGAAAAAGAAGAGAAAAAATATAAAATAAGAAAAAATGTGGAATGGGGATAAAAAAGAATGGGTAAAGCTGACAAAAGAGTAAAAGAAGAAAGAAGAGGAAAAAGAAAAATGAAGAAAGAAGAAAAAGAAGGGGAAAGAAAGATAAAAGAGAAAAAATGTTAAATGATAAAAAGAGAAAGAGTGAAGAATGACAATAAAAGAGAAAAAGAATAGAGAATGAAGATAAAAGGAAAAAGAATAAGGAAAAACAAAACAAAACAAAAGAGAAAAAGAAGGTAAAGAAGAAAAAGACTGAAAATGAAGAAAAAAGCAAAGAAAAAAGGATGCAAGAGAAGATGCAAATTTTTAACAAACTAATGAAGCAGTTAAGGTGATGGAGAGGTTGAAAAAAGATGGGTGTTTAAAAAAGAAAGGAAAAATAAAAGAAATTAACAGGAAGGTGAAAGTTGAAAGTAAAGAAGAAAATTTTAAAGAAAAGAAAGAGATTTCATGAAAAAAAGAAAAAATGAAAGAAATTAAAAGGAAGGAAAAGTTGAAGGCAGAAAAAAGAATGAAAAATTGAAAGATAGCAAAGAACTAAAAAAGGCAAAATAAAAAATGTTAAAATAGAGTTAAAAAAATATACACAGATATAGTTAATATCAATAATGATTTTTAGTGGAATATTAACGAACATCTGTCTTGAAATTGACAATGAATATTCTTTTTGGATAAAAAAAAAGGAAAAGATTCTTGTGCAAAAGCCAACAGTATCTGGCAACTGAATACTGACAATTCTCTTGGATTGGAGCAAATGAGAGTATGAAAAAAAGAACAGGAAGTGAAATATACCCTTTGTCTCACAACAACAATCAAAAAAAGTTAAAAGAATATATTGTGTAACAATTGATAGCATGTTGTAAGCTTTTCTAAAAGGCAATAAATGAAACTTGTCACTAGGTTCAGATTTTTTACCTTCTAAAAGCATGAAAAAATGAATAAACATCAGACTTTGTTTTAAGGAGAGTGTCTTGGACTAAGAACTTTTCAGCACTCTCTCATAAAGTAAATAAAATCTTTGGTACATTTGCTTAATAAATCAAATCTATGATCTCATAGATCATATCAAATGTTAAAACAATTTCAATGCATGTCTATATTGAAACAATTTTCACTACATGTATATAGTACAATCATGATAAATTCCTTTGTGTCCCCTTTTGCTACTCCATTGCTATTTCCATGGCAAATATTTAAATGAGCTCCAATCTTTAGTTTCACCTCTACAGGTGCCATTTTACTTCCATGGGTTGAATCAGTCACATTTCCCCTGTGTTCCAAAGATAAAAACTGCTACTTTGCTGAACAGACTTTCACATACATGCTTTCCTGAACTCTTGAATTTTGGAGCTCTTCAAGTCAAAGGTCAATCACCATTCATCATTCTTATCCTTGTGGTCTTCATTTTTTAGCACCTTCTCTTCCATTCATATCACACACCTCATTCATCATTAGCATTTTGAAAGTAAGCATCTACCAGGAGTGGTTCTCAAACCTTGTTTTGTGTGGAATTTAGTTAAAAAAAAAATCAATCATGAAAGGGAATGAAAGTTTTGATAGATTTTTTTTTAAAATAAATGCAATTGTGATATGATGATTTCCATAAACAATCAGTTCTAATATTAATATTATGTATACATTATCTTTCCCTATCTTAATATTGAATAGCAGAAAAAAAGGGAGCAAAATTATCCTTAAAATTTAGGGTGCATGTCTTTATTTATATAATAGAATTTTTGGTGGGGTGTGTGTTGAAAGTTACAAACCAGTTACTTGTTTATTAAGCTGTTAGAAATAGATCAGCAGAGGGGATTATCTGCTATACTCTAATCATCTTGATTTTGGGATGGTATCTGAAGGCACATTTGGATAGTGAAAGGCACCTTCCAAAAGCTAAGCAAAGTATTAAGAAACAGAAAAATTTCATTAGAAACTAAGAAAAAAGTACTGAACTTTTATGTAATATGCCCTCCTATATGATAGTGAATGCTGGATAATCACCTCACAAATGAAAAAAAGACTTGGATCAACAGAAATGTGGTTCTACAGAAGGATGTTGAGAATACTAGGAACCAGATTTGTGAGCAACAATGACATTTTAGAGAAAATGGAAACAAAAAAGACACTTATGTTTAACATCAGAAAGAGGCAGTTGAATTTTCTAAGGCACAGAATGAAGAAAGAGGGACAGTGGAAAACAATATATAAGATACGTAGTAAGTTTGAATAAATCAGTGGTAGAACAGGGTTTAGAAAAGATAGCAAAAAGACAAAATTCATTAAGAGCTACAATGGACAGTAAATTGTGGAGAGCCAACACCCTGAGGAAAGATAGTAAGTAGAAGAACTAGTTCATAAATTTAATATAAACTCAGATATAAACACACCAAAATACCAAGACTAGGCATTTTTGTGTGTTCATTTTGTGTGTTCATAAACAGACTGAGATTGATAAATAGATAGATATGGATGAAGTTCTAGTGTTAGAGTGGCTACCATCCAAGGCTAGAGAGTGTAGTCCATGCTGCTATTTAACTCAGAGCTGAGGCGGAAAGTGATGGAGTAAATGAAACAGACTAAGTTTGAATGAGAACGCATCTTGCTGTTTCATATTTATTAGTATTTGCCAATAACCATGGATCAGCTATAACAAATACAGGCGAAAAAGAAATTGAACATAATATAGGCTGTGCTAGAGGTAGTTTCACACAATACCACAATTTGCTACAGAACCAAAGCATCTACCTAAAAATTTGAGTCATGTTCTTAAATAGCCTCGTCAGATAGAGAATTTCATATGAATACCAAGGATGGTGCCAAACCCATTCAGAAAGATCTAAACTGTCAGATGAATACAATTGCTTCCTATGATCAATGGTGAAAAAAAGCTTTGAGCAAATAAGCATAAGGGTCTTGGCAAAGATTATCTTTCTTTGGACATTGTGGACTGGCATTACAGAATCACAAAGAAAGAACTGTACCAAATAACAGAAACCACATCACTTGAATATGACCAACAGCAGCAACAACTAAAATGGATAGCACATGTAACTCAAAAGGAGAAAAATTAAATAATCAAGATATTGATATTCCACACTATTTCAAATAAAAGGTTAGGATGCAAGCTACCATCAATACTTGAAAGAGTGATAAAAACCACTAGACATGAGAAAACTGTTTTCCTAAAAAAGTGTTTTAAGAGAAAGATTTTATAAATTTCAACCCCGAAAACAGTACTGGCTGTTCAGTCAATGAATGCCAAATGTTTCCTTGGAGGGAAATAGTTAATATTGCTATTATAATTGTGTTTTGTTCACGGCAATTAGTTTTGATAAACAAAGATGCACCTCACTAAATAAGTTTTGAGGTAGATATGGCACTCATACAATAGGGAATGCAAAAATGATGTTAGAATTTGAACCTGGCTCGTTATGCTATCTTTCATGCTGATAACCTCTACACTACCCACACATTCTGAATTTACTGTTATGGGACCTACCTTTATGGTCTAAATGGACTCATCCTATTACTATGTATACGGGGAGATTATGCCTCTCAAGAGAGCAGTCTACAGGTTGACGAGTTGACTACTGTACTTTGCTGTCAGTCGGACGTGCAACACTTTTGTATTCGTTCTTTTTGTTTAATAATATGTTTTCACTAAATTGCTGAGTTTGAGTTTTCTTTAGGACCTATTCTGGGTCCACAACATTTACATAATTAAAAATGTGAATTTTCTAATATATTTGGTATAAAACTGGAACAAATATATGTGTATATATGTGTGTTTGTCCATGTGTATGTGTATTTGTGAGAGAGACAGACAGAGAGAGTACAACTTGTATATGAAATAGTTTTAAAGTACAAAAGATATGAAGATTTAAAGTATCTGTTTTATAAGCAGAGGCACCAAAGAGGATTGATGTCCATATTTGTTGAATTATTTGCATCATCAAGTTATTTACTTGGTTACTGATTTATATTGATCACTGACCAGAATAGATCGGGCTCTATTTATCACAGGTTGATGAGCCTAACTCAGTTAATTCTTCTTACTGTAGTGAATCTAATTTACATTAAGTGTGCCACTATTATGGAAACGTATCTGCCTAAAGCAGTGTTTTTCAACTGGGGTAGTCACTACACCTTATTGTCTCAAAGAGAGCAGTTATGGGTTGATTCACCATGGTGTAATGGTCAATGAGTCTAACTCAGTCAACTCTTCATACTGTAGTGAGACTGATTCACACTAAGTGTCTTACTATTATAGACATGCATCAGCTTAAACCAGTACTATTCCACTGGAATAGTTGCTAAAATCTTGTGTGTTACAAAGAGTAGTTATAGTTTGATTCACCATAGTGTAATGTTTAATAAACCTGACTCGGTCAGCTCTTCCTACTGTAGTGAATTTGATTCACACTAAGTGCCCTACTATTATGGACATGCTTCAGCCTCTTCCAGACATGCCTCACCCTAGTGTGTCGAAGAGAGTAGTAAAGGGTGTCATCTTATTTTCAATGAAAAAACACAAATGTTCTAAAATGGAATTAGATTGTTTGGTGATAGAAGTTTCAATGCATAATCCAACAATAAGCAGAGAAGCTTTGGGATTTTTTCTTCATTTCTCAGCAGTTTACTTGTGTACAGCTGCCTTCTTTACTTGACTCATATCAAAACAAAGAAAAGAAAAGAGAAAATTTGAAAACATTAGAAGAAATGTGAGTTGCCATATCAGCCACATGACACGAGCTCAAATTTTCCATTGATACCAATTAAAAAAGAAAATTGATTTAAATTTTATCTGAAATTTTCATAATGTTATTGCATATTTGGGAGATTTTTTTTAAATGAAATGTTTTTAACCTTGTAAGCGGAATCCCAATTTTTGGTTCTCTCTGCCACATTTTGTCTAGGATCAAAGTGTAGTAAAGACAAACTTCTCATCTATGAAATCCCATCAACAGACTTCAGATGCAATGGACAAAATCTGCAGGCAAAATAAAAAAAATCTGCAGGAAAAAAAAACTTCCAAATTGTCAGTGATGCATTTCTAAATGAGTCGTATTAATTCACAATGTAACCACTTGGCGACAGTGACGGACCTTACAATTGTAAACAAAGACAGAAAGTACAATACATTAGCATGTTCATGAGAAAGTAGCTGTGAGAAATCTATTATTTTTGTTATTTTGATTACAGATCTATATTAAGTATATATTTATTTATGCCATATATACATGTTTATAGTATTTACATTATGACCATAATAACTGGTAGTTACTATAGTGGTTTTATAAGTCAAAAATAATCCCTTCCCATCTACGGACATTCAGCTTTAATAGACCACACCTCCCTCCTATTAGTCCATTGATGAGAGGTTTGTCTGTATATGTCTTTTTTCTTTCATGTCAATGAAACATGCCATTAACATTCAATTAGTAGATGGCTATTTATTTGTAGCCATAGAGTAGTTAGTCTTGCTATATCAGAGATCAATTCTTACGAAATGTTTTGTACTAATGACCTAGTTTCCCTTATCCTACAGGATATCCTGTAGAATACAATGGAAACTTACTCTGTAATTATAGAAGTGTGTAGAATTAATTAATCTAGAGGAGAAGAGGTAGATTCATACCTTTTCCAAAGGTATTTGCACTTAAGTGAATATAATAATCCTGACTGGAATTGGAACTTGGCTCCCCAATTTTCAATTCTGAGTTGTTATACATTACATTACCCACACATCCAAACTCACAGCACCTGGTATTCTAAAGTGGTTTGCCTATCTAGGTACTGACCAGGATAGCCATTGCTTAACTTGTGATTGTATGAGAACTAGTGTTTCAATGCGATGTGGCCATAAGCTCCAAGTATTTTTTTAAAGCAGATATTCTTTCTCATACGTTTTTTTTTAATATAATTGTTTTATCAGACAAGATCAAACAAGAACTCTCACCCATGTGGCTAAGAAAAGTTAATTTGTATATTTCAGTTATTTTTATCTATTTGCATTGAAGTGTGTCCCAAAGTGAACAGGAAAAATTCCTTGTCAGAAATGTAAATGATATTCCTGGAAAATCTATCCATATTGATAAACAGCTTGCCTTACAACCTCTCATGCACATGCACACGCAGGGTTTATTTAGACACAGGGTTCATTTAGACAAGATCAATGTCTGCATCTTTTTAGTCTCCATCTTATTTCAGAGAGTATATTCTCTCTCCAAGTACAAAAAGATCATTTCTACTGAGATTTGCATTCTCTACGCTTCATACATACACACATATATACATACATAGAGTTTGGCTTGGTTTGGTTTGGCATATCAACCCCTTATTGGTCATTTAATTCCGAAATTTAATTTTCTTGGAAGCTTTGGTCATTTTTCCTTTCCTTTTCCTATAATGTACTGCTAGTAATTTTTTTTAACTATAAAAAATGTACTGTTGTTATTCATACTACAAAAATGTATTTTTATACTTTCATAATGTTTTGACCGCAGTTTGTGGGGTTCACTATTTGCCAATAACTGGGACCCTAACATGTGCTACCACCCTGGGTCAGAAACAACAGCAATTAAAAGGTGGTTCAACACTCCTCAAAACCTCCCAATGCTGCCACATGTAGTTTATCGTTATACCCAGGATGAACATATATAGAGGCATCTATGGATAGCAGATGTAATTTGAAGAGAAAATAATGAAATAATTAAGATGCTGACATTCCACATTACTTCAAATAAAACATTAGGAAGGAAACCCCCATTAATATGTGAAAGAGTGATAACATTTACTGAATCTGAAGAACCTGTTTTCCTGAAAAATTGTTTTAAGAGAAAGATTTTATAAAATTAAGCCAAAAGTGATACTGGCTGCCTGGTCAATGAATGCCAAATGTTTCTTTGAAGGGAAATGGCTAATATTACAATTACCATCAATTATGGAGGACTATAGAGTCTATAAGAAGAGATTTGAGGCAACAAAGGTGTGATTTGACAGAAGCATGCTGAGAATATTGTGAAGCAACAAAGGAGTTTTAAGGAAAATGGAAAAATGTCTTTAGAATCAAGAAGAGACAGCTGAAATTGTAAGAAAACAGTAGATGTATGGATTTTAGCAAAAGGGTGAACCGAAAATGTGATTGAAGATGGCAAAATCAGGAAATTATAGAAATTTGACTTTCTGGGAATTAACAGATGGCAGAAAATGAGACACAAAAAATATCTGAAGATGTATTGGAATAGTGAATAATACCTTTCAAAGCTAAGCAAAGTATTAAGAAACAGAGCAATTCATTAGAAACAAAGAAAAGATTGCTGAAATATTATATAATATCAGTTCTATAGGTGTACAACCATATCATGTTGAAACATTGGTTCTTATCTGATTACTGGAATTAAGTAACATCAAATCTGGTTAGTACCTACATAGATGACTGTTTGGGAATACTAAGAGCTGTAACAGTGGATGTGTGATGTATGGATGGCAGAATAGATAAGGGCTCAGGATGAGAAATTAGAGAATAGAATTCAAATTCCAGTGGCATTCGTTACATTATAATCAAATACCATTGATTGATCATGAATTGAAAGGAGACATAATCACCCAAGTGTGTCACATCCATTCTGAGAAGAAGAAATTCTATATAGCAGTAAAATCGAATCAATGCAACACAAATATCAATTTGTGAAAGTTTATCTACAATAAACAACACCTTATTAAAAATTGGAAAAATACAATAAAAAAACAAAAAAGACAGACCTTGTTGGTTCTATTTAAATTTAATCAAACTTGTTTGTATATATATATATATATATATATATATATATATATATATATATATATATATATATATATATATATATATATCCTTGAAAACAAATGTAGTACATTCCTAAAGTACTCAGAAAAAAAATAATATAAAAAAAGTAAAATAAATATGAACTTTTGCAAATTTACCAATAGCACAAGACAAGATATTTCTGAGAAGAAGTATTGTAATTATTTGCACTATTTACATTGTTTGGACTGTTGTCCTCATCTTTGTTGCCATATTCACAATATTTCAACTGTTGTATGCTCAGACCTTCTCCAGGTGATTGGAATTTCAAACTGAACCTTTTATTTTGTCCACCAGGGTAGATTGTTCTAGTTCCACATGCCATGCATTTCCCTCCTCCAAATTTTTGTTCACCACTGCAGAAGCCAGTACTTGCAACTCAATGGGTCAAGTTACTGGATACAACCAATGCTTTTATCCACTGGAACATGTGTTCATGAGGATATCAGTCTATGAATTTTTGGGATATATAAATTTAATATCTCAGTAACCATTTTTACCAGAGCTCATATTGCAATTTTGTTCTTATTATTGCTTTTCTCTATCACTTCGTATTACTGGTTCCCATATTGTATTCATTTCTATGCTTGGCTGGCTTAGGAGATTTTTGTAACCTAGCATATGTGCTGATTCTTTAAGTTTTTGCATTTTCCAGTGATGTTCTCTGTCTATTATTTCAACTTCATCCCAAAGGGAGCAGTGACCTCCCTTTTTCCTCCATATATGGTCAGCTATGCCTGATTTTTCTATTTCTCTTCGTGTTACGGCTTTATCATATTCTTGCAACCTCACCTTCAGGGTGGTGGCCAGTTTCTCATTTATATTTCTTACCCCAGCTGCACAGGATGGCATACACACAGTCCTTAGTCAAACTGGGACAGAAGGGTAGAAAAGGATAACAGCACTCAGAAAACAGCTTCGGTCTGCCTACCCTATGTGAATGGATTATCAGAGAAAATACAAAAGATATGTGGTCCATTTAAGATTATGATGACCTTCAAAAGAAAAATACAAAAACTTAAGAAATAAGCATGATGAACAGTGGACGAAATAAAGGATTCAGTTCGAAATTTCAATCACCTGATGAAGGCTGGTGTGTACAAGGGCTGAAACATCGTGAATATGGTAACAAGGATGTGGACAACAGTCCAAAATATAAATAGTGTAAATAATAAAACAACTAATTCAGAAATTTAAAAAACTTAATAAAATATTTGATAGAACTTGTCAATATTATTTAACACAAATATGATTGATATATACATATACATATATATATATATATATATATATATATATATATATATATATATATATATATGTATAAAAGGGGTATTTTGGAAGCAATAATTCTTTGAAACATGTTTGGTTAACTGTCTGTAGATTTTTTTAATAAATCTTTTAAATTTTCCATTGTTTTATGTTGTTGGTAAATTTGTCAAAGTTCATATTTATTTTTATTTTATATTATTTTTTATGAGTACTTTTGAATGTCACTACATTTGTTTGCAAAGATTGTTCTGTGTATATTTATGCAACTGTTTTTTTTTAATTCTGATGTTCTTACATTTGACAGAAATAATTTCATGTCACTCAATGTGATGTCATTTCAGTGGTCAAATTGATTTTTTAAAACCACGTTTCAATATATCATGCTCTATAGAGAAAGACACGTTTCTCTTTTATTACAACAACCTCCAGAATTTGGTGCCTTTCTTTGCAATGTGTAATATATAAAATGATGGTGTTATCTAATAAAATTTGTCTTATGTTCATATTATTTTGCTTATTTGCCATACATTCATCTATATCTAAGTTATATATTCACACACACACACACACACACACACACACACACATATATATATATATAACTCGAGAAAAATCTTAAAAATCCATTT